ACCGGGTGCCTGCTGGGCGCCCTGGTGCTGAGCACGCTGGCGGGCAACGCGCTGGTGTGCCTGGCCGTGCTGCGCTTCCGACACCTGCGCGCCAAGGTCACCAACTGGTTCGTGCTGTCCCTGGCCGTCTCGGACCTCTGCGTTGCCCTTCTGGTGATGCCCTGGAAGGCGGTCACTGAGGTGGCTGGCGGCTTTATTTTGTGACACCTGGGTGGCCTTTGACATCATGTGCTCCACCGCCTCCATCCTCCACCTCTGCATCATCAGCCTGGACCGGTACTGGGCCATTGCCAGCCCCTTCCGCTACGAGCGCAGGATGACACAGCGCCTCGCCTGTGCCATGATAGCCGTGGCCTGGGCCCTCTCCATCCTCATCTCCTTTGTCCCAGTGCAACTACACTGGCATAAAGCCAAGGACAGGAGATACCCAGGCCCCCAGCTGCCTGGGAAGCCCCGCTGTGATGTCATCCTGAACCGCACTTACGCCATCACCTCCTCCCTTATCAGCTTCTATATCCCCGTGGCCATCATGATCATCACCTACACCAGGATCTACCGAATTGCCCAGGCCCAGATCCGCCGCATCTCCACCCTCGAGCGAGCAGGGGGACAGTGGCCAGCCCACAGCAAGGAGCCCACCTCCTCTTTGCGGAATTCCCTGCGCAAGGAGACCAAGGTGCTGCAGACCCTCTCTATCATAATGGGAGTATTCGTTTGCTGCTGGCTGCCCTTCTTCCTGCTCAACTGTCTGCTGCCTTTCTGCCAGCCCAAGCTTGAGAGAGACCATGAAGAACAGTCACCTTGCGTTGGCCAAACCACCTTCAACATCTTTGTGTGGTTTGGCTGGGCCAACTCCTCAGTGAACCCAGTGATCTATGCTTTCAATGCAGACTTCAGGCGGGCTTTCAGCAACCTCCTGGGTTGTCGGCGTTTCTGCTGTGGCACGCCCAGAGCCACTGTGGAGAGGGTCAACTTCAGCAATGAGCTGGTTTCCTATCACTATGACACCACCTGCCAGAAGGAAGGAGCTGCCTCACTGTCAGTACCTGCCCCTGCTGTCACCGCCTGGGTGCAGCCAGTACCCCATGCCATAAGCCTTCAGGGAGAAAACAGCAGTGAGGAGATATCTATGGAAAAGAGGCCTGTGGCTTCTCAGACACAGGCTGCTACTGGCAGCAGCCCCAAAAGTCATCAAGTGCCAGCTACTTTGCAATTGGATTGCAAGGCAGAGCTATCCCCGGAAACTACTCCCTGTACAGGGCTTGGTCCGTGCAAGGGACTCAATCACCCCATTCCAGAGGGATAAGTGATTGCACATTTCTCACACACCCAGCCATCCCACAGGGAAAGTTCACTCTGTCTACACACCTCCCTTAGCAAAGTCCCACCCCAGAGGGATGGGAACCTGCTGCTCTTACTCCAGAGAGGTGATGGGCATGTGAAGAGCACCTTCACCCCTTCCTCTGTTTCACAGTCAGTAGACACTGCCCATGCATTTGTTCACCCCCATTCTTCAATAAAACTTGTAATATTTATTAAGAATAATTAGACCAAACCAAAACAACTCATAGTTTGAAACACTATAGTACATTCTTACATAGATAAGTTAATCTTAGATTTAGCTTCATTGCTAAAACCCATTTTTTCCCCCTCTCATGGTTTCGCATCATACATGTACACAGTTGTGGTCTTAAAGGTTTGTACTGGGTTTTACTTCGGTGTTTATTTCAAAGCCACATGTCTGGATTTACACATCTGAATCTGTGTTTAGGATCTTAAATAAAAATCCGCATATTAAAACATCACTATCTTGTGTTGACTCAAAAGACCTCTCAAAACCCTGGAAAACTGAGTTGCAGTTATGTAGGACCCCAAACAGTTTCAGGGGTCTAACTGGTATCCAGGCTTAATGATATCGAGCTAGGATCTTCCTCATCCTCAAATGTTAAAAAAAATATATTCTTGTATTAGGATGAAATTACAGAAGGGTGGTGTTTGAGAACTAACACTACAACTGCAGAGCAATTTCACTACTTGTAGACACGAATAGCAACAAAATGTAGAGCAAATGGGTGTTGGATGGCTTGCAGAAAAGAAAATACTTGGGGAACTTGGTGATCATTTCTGTATGTGTAAAAGGGTTCAGATTCAGCAGACACTGAGGGAATACAATGGCACCTCACTGTCCTCCACTTCTCTGCCCACCACTTTGGAGTTCTGCTGGTGACCATTCAATACTGTGTCCTGCTAACCACCATTGTTACCCCATTTTTCTATTCGTTGCCTATGATTGAGTTAATTGACCTTGATTCAACTAAGGAAGATGAAGATGCAGCTGTCCAGAAAGAGACATCAAGAATGTTTACAGTGCAAGAGTTTTCTTGGACATTAAGCCTCACAGATGGCACAGCTGATATCTTTCAGAACGGCGATCCATGCTGAAAAGCCAGCTGATGAAAAGCCAGACTCTTCTCCCAGCAATCCTACTCCCTGTGAATTTAAACTATGTGTGGTTCTTCAGCCCCTGTACACATTTTCCCCCATCACATTAATTCTTATGGGAAAAATTGCTTTTGCTACCTTGCTCTTTTCAGGAATGTGTCCTTGGGGAAGAGTTGGGTGTGGCTGTAATCTCTTCTGGCAGGACAAGAGGTAATGAGCTTAACTATAAGAAAGACCAAGGCAAGACTTTGAAAAAACTTCCTAAGAACAGGGGTAATTAAGCACTCGACTAGACTGCCTAGGGAGGTTATGACATCCGTCTCAGTAAAAGTCTTTATGATGACATTGCCAAGCATCTGTCAGAAATGACATTGGCACTGTTAATTCTGTCTTGGGGCAGAGGCATTTTGTAATGGTCTGTGGAGATCTTTTCTACTCCTGCTTCACTATGACAACACAACTCCTTAAGCATTGAGCCTAAGATGTTTGTTCTTTTTTTTTAACATGCAGTGATCCTTAGCTATTTTCTTGAATGCAAAAAAAAAAGAAAAAAAAAAAAAAGCCATGCAGATAAGAACTTTAGACCCCATAGGTATATTTCCCTTTTTCTCTTAGTGACTAGCCGTGGTTCTTAGCATTTAACAGCTATCATTCAGCATGCCTAGTGCCTCATCTGGAGAGCCACTCTGAAACAAACATAGTATTTCTTTAAAAGAGATACAAGATCTGTGAGGGTTTTTTTTATTTGCTTTGATTATTTTCTAGGTGATCATATATGAACTGTACATGGATTCAGTTGTAAAAGGACAATAAATTCATTAAAGGGTTTTCCTTACTACATTATTTCCTTCTTACACAAACTAGAAAGACGTACTGTTAGTGTGTTGGTATCTTTTATCTCCTACAGAAAAAGAAAATTATATAAATTATATTTTAGAGCTGTAAGACTTCTCATCTCACCTCCTCCACACTAAAACTCATCCTGTGGATATACTAACACATCTGATAAAACCCTATCCTGAAAGGTGACTCCCTCACTGCCTGCTACATGTCCATTTCTCTTCAAGAGCTTGAGCTGGCTCCATCCCTTGGAGAGTTAACTCTCCCTGCCCACACAGCTTCACATCTTCCTTCTCGTGGGCAGGAAGTCTTCTGGCTGTCAAAGCCACACATTAAATTATTATGCACAGAATGCATTAAGCAGTGAATATATTTGAATAATGTTTTCTCTTCAGAATAATCAGAAATGCATGGTAGCTTTGATGTGTGAAACTATATTTGTGTTAACAATGGAAAAAGCTATTTATATCAGTGCTTGTGGCTACAGTTTAATAAGGTTCATGAATAGGTCAGATTGTACTTGAAAATAAATGGATATTTATCTGAAGAAAAAAAACTGGTCTTTACTGAAGCTTTTTAAAGGGAAAATTTATAGTTCTCTTTGTAAGTGATGCTGGAAATAATTGCTGGTACCTAACTGATAATGGTCATTACTGATGTGCAGATGATACACAACACAATAGTTTATAGCTGTCTGTAAGGTCCGTTGTAGTAAGACTAGTGTAATGTCTGCAAGACTAACACATTTCAGAAATTGCATATTCTAAGCTGTTTATACTCAGTTTAGGAAGCATATTGCTGAAGGTACTTCATATGAAGGCTGCACTGCCCTTCAGACTCTATCTTCTGCTGTTTCTAATTTACTAACACAAGCATTCATATTATAGGGTTTTATTTTCCTAGGCTGAGAAGGCTCACAAATGTTAAGCACACTCCAGACCGCACAGTTCTATGAACAGTAAAGGAGCAAGAGTTTCACAAATATTTTTTTTTCTTGTGACTAACTGTGATTTCTAATTAACATTTTTCTCATGACAGGGCAAGCTGCTGTGTTGGACTACACAAGCTTCAATTAGCATTGTTAGGTTCAAGTCTAATGCGATATAATAAAATTATTACAAAAAGTCAAAGGATTACCTCAGCAGAAATTAAGAGGCAAAATTATTTCCTGTTTACACCATTGCAGCCACTCAAAAGAAACACCTTTCAAAGCAAAACTTGGTAGCACTTTGTTATCCCTTTCTGGGTCACAGCTTTCTTGGCTTGGCAGAACAAAATGCATCACGAATGTTAGAAGTATTACTTTAGGGATTCTATTGCTATTCCTCAAACACTCTTTTTATAACTGCAATAATCAAATCTACATGCTTCTTTACGGATTCACCACAATACATGTGAGGTATTTCACTGACTAAAAGCAGTTCACTTCCACGCATAGTAGTTCCACATTTACAATACCATTAACATATAAGTGACCTAAAAATAGTTTTAAATAGCCTTTGTGTCAAATCAGTCCAATCTCACAGATACCTTACCTAAACACTCTTATTAGCCAAAGTCTAAATATCCAAATCAAAACGCATTCGAGTTAAGCAAAGTACAAGAGATAGGGCTTCATGACATATACCAAATGTCTTCTCTGTTCAAATGATTCCCATTCTGTTTCATTTTGTCAGTCTACGAAGTTCTTAACCAGCTACGGGTCCTATTTCTTTATTACACAATTGAAATGAACCCAAACTTCTTGTGGCCAGCTAACAGCTGACGTGGCTGAGCTGCCACAGCAGCCATTCTCACTATTCCATCACACATGGAATAGGTATACTGTCTCTGTAGCCTCCTTGGATGGCTCTAGAGGTGCTTGTCCAGCTGAGAGCTTTTCCCTGATGTCAAATTTATATTAAATTGTTTTGTGTGGGTTTTTTTTGTTTGTTTGTTTTGTTTTGTTTTTGTTTGTTTGTTTGTTTGTTTGGGGTTTTTTTGTTTGTTTTTTTTTTTTTTTGTTTGTTTGTTTGTTTTGTTTGTTTTAAAAGTTATGCCTGGGGGTAAACATGCATGTGTTCATGCTGCCTTAGACAACTAGGCTAGAAAGTAAACAGCATTCTTCAAGGAAAAGGAAACCTCAAGGCAGGGCTGTCTGAAGCTGGAGATAGAGCAGGGCAAGGACAAGAACTCCTTCCAAAAGAAAGAGCAAAGCTGGTCCCACATCCCTGTGTGGCAGAGGTGCCAGGTGACATTTCAGTAACCAGCCATCAGTGTTGTTTCTAAGAAATGTAGTGCCACCAGTCACCTGCAACATCTCTGTAGCAGGAGGCAACAGGAGGACAGCAAAGATGCACTTGAACACTATGCTGATCAAAGTTTCATCCTGTTTCCTAAGCAATATTTTTAAAATCTTAACTAGAACACACATGCATCCTTGACATTACGCTTACATTTTTGTGTTTTGTTGTTTATGGCTTATCTGTTTGCCTGTCATCTTCTTTATACAGGGCTTTAATTTGCATTACTCACAAACTTCCTGAGGTCGCCACTGACTTTAAGAAGCTTTTTACAGTTACACCACTGCCTTTACACGTATCAGTTCCAGGAATGAGAAGGAACTGAAAAAGCATGTGTCACTTGGCATGAGAAAACAAAGCTTGGGACAATTCTGCTATTCAAACCATAATAAAAGAAAATTACATGCTCAAAGAAACTCCTATTAGCAAAATCCTAGCAAAATAAATACAAAAAATAAAATAAAAAAAAAAGATACTAGATTTCCTCCCAGTCTCCCTCTCCCCTTGGACTGGACGTCTACCCATGTATCCAACCTGCAGGGCTAATTTTCCACATTCCTCATGTTCCTTCTCCTTCACAAATGCTCACAGACATGCAGATATTGCAAAGTACATTTTCAAGGCATCAGACGAAATCGTATTTTTCCAAAATTAATCTTCCCTCTTCCTCCCTTTATTTCTTGCTAAATTGTTGTAATTTGTTTTACTGAGTCGAATACAGATAAAATAACCTTGTGTTCTT